TAAGGATTCACTGAATAAATGAATAAAGCGAGTGGTTGATATTTTGCAAGATACTTTTTCTTCTCACAGTCAAGCATTTTAATATGGACTATTTTATTCATCAGCCTTTCTGGTGTGCAGGAACCTTTCAATTATTAACTGAAGGCGATGATCTAATCTCGTGGATTGAGGAGCGCCGACTATTAGTTTTCAAAACAAATGCTCCCGAAAAGTGATTTCCCACAAGAACAGCGTTCGCACACAAAAACCAGGCGTTGATTGGATGGATTATCTCCCTCGGACAAGGTCAAAGCCTCTTGATCGCAATAACTTTAGAAAACGATGAGCAGTATGCGAGACCATCTGGCCCCTTTTCTCTGAACAACAAGCGTTGAGGGGAGGGTTGCAAACCCCTCCAGGAGAGCGCACCTTCCGCCGGAGTCAGATGGAGGCGAGATAATTGCCTTGTTAGGGATTTCCCATGGAGTTCGCCGCCCCGGGGGGGGGGAGCCGCCTGCGGGAATGGTCATGCGCGTGCGTGTATGAACGCCGCGCTGGCTGCTGCTCGGCCAGGAAGCACCGGCGACAGAGCCACGTGTTCCACGGGCGCGTGGACGCACACGGCCGGAAGGACAAAGGCCTCTCGGAGAGAGGTGGAACTCTTCTACACACCCGCCAAGAAAAGATTGAGGAGGAGGAGGAGGAGCAGGAGGAAGAGGAGGAGGAGGAGGAGGGCGGCAGGGGACGGTCACGTCTGTGGAGCGCCCCCGATCACGCCAGGCAACAGCACAAAACACAACGGCAACAACCACTCCGAGGGGAGGCCCCCGGCGCTGTCATGGTAACGGCGTAGAGTGACCTTCAGAGGCTGCCGGTGCTCCCCGGAGACTCCTCCTACTGCGCCCGGCGTGGACCCTGTGAGTCATCAGCAACGTTCAGACACACGTGCCGCTTCTCTGGAGGGTTGGGGCTTATTAAAACGGATGAGCAAATGGGAAGGAAAAAAAAAGATGACAGCTGACCCGGACTAACAGCATTTGTCCGCTTGTGCATCCCGTCGTTGACCAACGCACCACAAACAAGACTGGTCATGAATGCCATTATGCTAATAGCACACGCGGGATCAAAAGGGCGGCGCGTTAACCTACTTTGCACAGCACGCCGCTTGTTACGTAACGGCGGGTTTTGTTTGGGGGAGGGAGGGAAACGTCTCCACGCTAACGGAGGAAGATGCGCCGCCGAAGAAGCCGCAGCCGGAACGCGTAACAGCACGTTGCAGCAGCACCAGCACCAGAGCCGGGATGGGTTACCTCCAGGCCGGGAACACCGCCTCCCACTGGAGGAGAGCAGGCAGGCAGGCAGGCGCGGTTTCGAGGGTGGGGGGTCAGGGGGTCAGGGGGAGGGAGGAAGTTTTCTGGAGCCTAAATGCACGGAGGACGCCCCTGCGCATTCCGAACAGGAGAAGCATGGATGCCGTTTCCAGTCTGTGGGTGGAAAACGTGGAGCGGCGGCGTTCGTAGTAAGCGTGAGTCATCGCTCGGTCGATGCGACGTCTCTCTCTCTCTCTCTCTGCACAGCGAGGCGGGTTTCATACCGGTCTGCTGTCTGTCTGCGTGAGTGTGTTTTTGGAAAATATTGATTCGGATATACGTACGCCCACGCACGCACACACATCAGCACGCGGGCACACAAACACACGTCGTATCCCGTTGCCATGGCAACCCTCGGGGGGGGGTGGGGGGCGGGGAGATAGAGATCTTTGGAACAGATGAATTAATTCCCAAAGGAGAAACAAGCCTCTCAAGTCTGTCATCCTCTTCCTCTGCTGTATATGAGTGTGTGTGTGTGTGTGTGTGTGTGTGTGTCCAGAACAAATTGAACAGGTCTGTTGTGCTGCTGCGGTTGGTTCCGCATGTGGACTTTGTCTTTGTTTGCCTCCGCAGGACGGATGTCCATGTGGCATCGATGCAGCGTTTCATTTCCCCTCAGAGGGGAGGGGCTGGAGATGATGGAAAACGTAAATGGTTCCCAGTAACGACGTTTTTTACAAAGGTAGACGGCATATGTACGCGCAAAAGCTTAGCAGACTATCACACTTGACCTCTGACCCCAAATTCCTTGCATCAGTCAAACTTCCTGGTGGATTCTCCTGACTAGATTCCCGCAGCAGGGTTTTTCCCCGGGGGCCCGATGGGGCTATTAGTCGTAGCCTAACACTCTGCCAGCGGGGCAACACACTGTCAGCCATTCAATACAAAGCAAATAGAGGAAAACCAACATATTAGTGGGGAAGCATTCTCCACTCCTGCTGCGCGAGCCGTCTGACACTCAGGGAAAGAGGTGTGTGTGTGTGGAGGGGGGGGCAGAGGAGAGGCTGTTTAGTTTATTCTCAATGCAGTGGAGAGTCAGGACCCCCGGCGTCCGCTGTCAGCCGGAGGTGCTCTGTGTTTTTATTCTGCAGCTTCGTCGTGAATACCAGAGCGCACAATGTAAGCGCGTTTCCATACAGATTAGATCCCTACGCGCGGGTCCGGTTAAATGGGTCCGTAGCTTTAGGGCCCCCGCTCGATGCAAAGGGCACAACGCGTGTTCAAACCAATCTGTTTTTTTTTTTTGGGGATAATGGGTTCTGATGAGGGGAACGCAGAAGCCCTTTTGCAGAGAGAGGGTGATTTATGTGACGGCTGCGTTGATGGGCGGAAGTGTTGAGACTTTACGGCGGCCGATGATGTAAAAGCTAAGAAAAATGGAATAAAGTCTTTTAAACCATTAACTCCTGGCTAATAATACAGCATTATCACTCTATCCGCTTCCTTCTGCATTCATTGACATGTGTTTCCTGTCGCTTGAAGGGACGTCACCCTGTTTTGACTTTCAGCGCTGAGGTCGTCCTCTCCTTCGGTATTTCCTCCGATGAGCTAAATTGTGCCACTGGCTAAATGTCACGCATCCGGACCGCCGGCGCCGGATTCCTCTCTCTTTCTTGTTATGCAGTTGACTTTTTTCGGGGGGATTTCAAACAAAGGGCAGCTCTGCATGTGGTCCCCTCCCTCCCCGGGCCCCCCGTTTCTCTTCAGAGGAGCCGTGAGTTTAAGAAGACGAGCGAGACGGGGGAACCATCAGCAGCTTTGTTCCTCCGGCAGGAAGTACAGCGTGACATGAAGTCAAAGGAAAGCGGGTCTGAACGCAGCGATTTCCCACCAGCCGTGCGAGGACACCTCAGTTTCGAACACCGGATTTCAAAAGTCCCCTCAGATGTCGCCGAGTTTTGAGATAACGACGTCGCCAAATCGCAGAACTATTTTCTGGTATCTCCGCTCTCCCTCTCCGCCGTCCTCCGCGTGGACCAGGCGGCCCTGGAGACTGAGGAGGGATCCGGACCAGGAGAACCAGGAGCATGAAAACCCGCCCGCGAGACAAGACGCGCCTCCCGTGACAAGACTGGATCTAAGTGGGCCTTGCACGGTACACAAAGGAGCCGTTTCCGGTCGGGTAGTTTACGCTTGGATTCGATTAGCTTTAAGCTGTTTTCTGTCTGGAGAGGAGATCTGGTCTAATAGAAGGTTCACGAATGAGCTTGGTGGCCACAGTTCAATGAGAAAAAGAAGATTCTGCATGTTGTTTGAGCCCCATCCATTAAAGGCCTTACTGGGGGTTGGTGTTTGCCACGTAGTGGTTACAGGAGGAGTGGACGACGATCAGGAACAGATGTGAGATCAGATGTGGTCCTCAGAAACTGCAAACATTCAGGGCCTGAGGAAGGATTCTGAGGTCTTGGATCAAGGGGACGCTTATGTTTGTGCACAAATTACTCACCGCAGAACCAACAAACCTGAAGTATTTAAAGAGGAAATATTTCTTTAAGCTCTACTCAACCCCGACCCGCAGAGGGGGGATAATTACTGTATTCATTACTCTGATTTTTTCCCAATTTCAATTATTGAGTTACTGATTTAATTTGCTCCATAATTTCCCTGCAATAAAGTTTGCGTCTCTCTTCAATGGAGCAAAGTCAGCAAAACAAACACAGACTCAGTTCAATTAAAACGACTATTAAAACTGTGTGTTTATAATGGTCTTTAATTGAAATCAGTCAAATTGAATAGAATGCAAACAGCCCCTGTGTCCCGCCATCTAACGCCCCCCCCCGAGATGACAGCACGTACCAGCACCTCCTAACACCACCCTCAGGAAGGCGGAACTGGAGGCAGATATACGAGTCGGCTTCGCCCTTTATTTCCAAACGACGAGTATTCATAAAAATGCTAATAGGGATTATGGAGAGAGGCCGCCGACGTCCCCCGTCACCCCGGAGGGACCATCGTCTGGAGACACGAGTCCCGATACGCCTCCTTCAACTCCCTCTCCCAAGGTGAGGCCTTTTTTTGTCCCAGGACGGTGGCCTCCAAGCAGTCAGGTGGCTGATTGGCATGTGGAATCATAGATGTGTGTGTGTGTGTGTGTGTGTGTGTGTGTGTTTTGAGAGTCGAGGCGGAGGAACTGAACCCGCCGTCACATCGCATTACCGCCTCGGTGGCACCGTCTCATCACATCAAATTACTCTTAATGAACACAGGCGAGTCGACTGAGGAGAGAGATAATCAAACTTTTATTAAATGACTTCATCTTCTGTACACGCATAATGGAGACGGGGGATTGGGGGGGGGGGGGGCGACGTCTGATCTTCAGCAGAGTCGTCCGTCCACGCGCTCCTCGGTGTAATGAGACGACGTGAGTGCAGAGAGTGCGACGTGGAAGCTCCTCTTGAGTGAACGGCAGGAGGTGCGTTTCATGCAGTATGTTCCTTCCCTTCATCTGGGGAATCATACAAAACGATGCGACGCACCGCAGCTCGGGTCCACGCATCCTACAGAGCGGCTAAACATCGATCAAATATCCAAAAGACGAGACGTTAACTTGTAAACAATTAAGCAAGAGCTCCGCGTGTACTCGGCGAGGGTTCAACCCGAAGGACAGATAGGAAATAATACCGTGGCGTTAACATTGAAATGCGCAAAGCGGGTAATTCATGTAGTTTTATTATTTAATTTTGAACCATTGAAAATACAGTTTGATGCCCGACTGGGATTCAAATAAAACAAGTAATGATTAGAGAGAAGCAGTTTCTAAGACCTGCTGCTGCTGGTCCGGTCCCGGTGCCCACGTGTCCTCTGATGAAACCCAAATATTTCACCGCTGGAGAACCTTTTGAATTTAAAAATGGTGTCTGCGCGCAGGTTTTATACTTTGTCTGCGCTTGTTTGTGCACCCCATACATTCATTTTTTTTTACCTTTTTTTAAAACCCCACCCCAAACATCTCAGCGGGCTATGTACAACAAATTTACATTAAATACGACCAACGCACTGAAACGACTAGCTTACAGCTTCACCTCGAGCGCGGAAAGCGACAGAACCAGAGCGGGTCAAAGGTCACGATGACGGACGTGACCCTCGGCGGAAACGTCGGGAGGAGGCGGCGTCGTCGTCGTCGTCTTTCTACCTCGTCAGCTGACCCACCACCTTCAGCAGAGTCTTGTTCTCCTGCTTCAGTTGCTCGTTCTCGTCTTCAATGTCGTCCAGGTCCTGCGGGCGAGAAGAGAGTTACTACAGCGAATCATCGCCTGTCACGAGCGCTGTGCTCGGAGCGCACCTTTAATGTTTGGGTTCAAACATCGTCGGGCAGGAGTTCGCTCTTCAAAGCGTAAATTAAGGGGGCAGATAAAAGCTCAGCAGCCGAGCTTAATCCTTTCTTTCTCCCCCAAATAAACTTCTCCGCTGACCGCGGGTCCAATCTTCCTCTGACCGGTCCGGCGGTTATCTTTCCCATGAGGCCTTGCGGGAGCCTCTGCGATGGCTTATCAGCCGGTCAGACCGGCCTCATATTGAGAGCCGTCTCTTATGAGCGGCTTCCTGAGCGCGTGATGCTATCGGGCTGATGCCTCTTGCAATATTGCAGAACTCCGGAGGGGGGGGGGGGAAATTCACAGAAGAGCCGCATCGATGGCACGGTGAACTCCAGCCGATATCTGCACCGTCTCCTGCTCCGAATACCAAAAGACATGCAAGTAAAGTGCCGCTGCTGAGCACCATTTGCCCTCTTTTGTGCGTCTTGCTGCATTTATTGCTTTGCCAAAACTTAGGGAAGGGATTTAAACTGGACAGAGAGAACTGTTAGTCAGGATTTAATATCCCAGTGCTTCATCTGTCAAACCGTGTGAGAAGATAGATTCATTTACATTAAGCGCTGCACTAGAAAACCTGACTGAGACGCCAATTCTCAGAGGACACAAAGTCTTACCGCTGATCTTTGTGAAGCGCATTTCTTTGCCATGCATTTGCATGCAGAACGTATACAACCTGTTGCACACATGTACGCGCGTTAGCTCATCATATGAGCCCCCGCAGCGTCGCACCGCTGCAGTCGGGTTCATTTCACCCTCTGCTTGTGCTTTCACACAATCCTTCCGTGTCTTCTCTGCCAACGCCTGAGACAGGAGGGTCTTTGGGATCCGTCCCCTCCGGCTTCGCTTTCGGCCTTCTACCACCCGCCGCACACAGGCGGAGCAGCCCACGGGTGGAGCAGGAACCGCTGACGGCGTGCCGGGAGGGCGATGAGGGTTCACAGGGTTTAGGGGGCGGCTCCCATTTTGCAGGCTGCAATTTCAGGGGGCCGATTCTCCCGCGCGATTGACAGCTGCTCTCAGCCAATCATTGCAACGCTCGCAAACCTCCGAGCAAATTATTTCATGGCACAGGAAGTCAAGCGACATCATGCAGTGGGAGGTGGAGAACATTTGACTCGAACACCACGCCGGTGAACTGGATTCTTTCACATCAGAAAAGCTGGTTTGAAATTCATCTGGAGCTGTAGTCATAGCAACAAGTCCTTAAGCCCAAAAAACTGCAAAAAGTACACTTGTGCGCTCGTTCTCGACTACAATTTCAGAGAGAAATGACAATGTGAAATGAGGCCATTTGTTTGATTAGGATCCATTTGTTCGAGCAGAGGCAGACTGGCTGCTGGAGATCGAGGCAGTGATCTTCGTCTGGCTTGTGGCTCCACTTTGCTGAACGTGAAACGACACGGTAAGTGTGGGGTTAAAATTTACTTTGAAAGATTTAATTGGAGGGTTTTTACCAGCCGCCGAGGAGCAAATCGAAAGTAGAAAGAAAAGGTCTTGTGGCGGGTTGAAGACTGCGGCGTTTTCAGCTGCATAACGTGCGACTTATTGATCGCTTTCTTTTATCCTTCACGCAACCAAACGATCGGCCAGCCGTGTTTGTCCAACGTGACTGAGAGAACCCGGAAAATTACCCGAAACACGTATCCACCAGGCTGCAAATTTGTTTTCGGTGGATAGATCAATAAGACATTAATGTCACAGATGTCATCAAAATGTCATCAAATCACCGGTGAGTTTTTGAAATGCAAATTGCACTCACACAACGCCGGGCTGTCATTCCTGCTCCCCGCGTTTACACCGAAAAATAGGTCAAATCCTAATGGACCGCAAGAAAATGATGATAGGAAATAAACACACACACACACACACACACACACACACACACACACACACACACACACACACCAGGAAACACAAAGGAACGCGCAAAGAATATCAGAAACCAGAGGAGAGAATGGCGCCGGCTGCACGCACTCTGTTCAGCAAGTCGATCTCCTCCCTCAGCTTGTCGATGACGTCGTCTTTGTCCTGGTCGGATCTCAGCAACCTGTCGTTCTCCTGGCGCTCTCTGGCCAGCTCCTGAAAAGACACACACGCACACACAAGATGAATTATACGACTTATGACTTAATGTGACGTTTATCTGGGACGCAGCAACTCCCTCAATCCATGAGAATTCCATCCCAAGGAAGTCAAAGTCACCTCGACCTTCCTGCTCTCCGGCATTAGAAGGCCGTCGGCGTGCCAAACATGCAGCTGCAAACAGCTGCATCCAACATTTCGGCCCGCGTTGTTATCTGTTGCCAAGTTACGCTCGCATAAGACTTCTTTATTGAAAGAACATCCAAGCGCCTCATGTTTTAAAAGGGCTTCAAAAGAACGTGTGGCATGACGATTAATCAAACAGATTATTTCTGATTCCAGCACGTTCCTCACAACGGGCGCTCCGTCACAATCAACATAACAGACGGCGGGAGAACGGCGCTTTTGTGTTTCTATCAACCGTTACTGGTAAACAGCCAGCGCGCTCTAGTTCGCCTCCTGCAGCCATTGCTCTTAAATAAACGGACTTTGTTCACACGGAGAGTGGAAGCGTCTTTGTGCTCTAAACAGAGGTTATAACGAGCAACACGAGTTGAAACTTGGACTGAAGAGAAAAATCACACCCAGGAAAGCATGGACATCGTTTCCATAGAAACCATCAGGTAGGTAGAGCGAAAGGTGCAAAGCATTAGTGACACCGATATGCTCACCAATGCAACTACTCATCTCTCACTCATATATATATATATTATACGTATATATATATAATGCATTCAGACCAAACCAACGGGTGGTTGTTGCGGCTCAGTCGGATATTTTTGTGCCGTGAACAGACCTTCAACACACCCACGCCAGTTTTTATCAGCGCACCAAAATAAGTGTGTGAAATGGGTTTGGTAAGTGCTCCGAGTCCTTCAGCGGAGGAAAATACTTGTTGAAGTCGCCCGGGTCAAAGCAGTACTTACTTTAAAACCCTTTTCTTCCCTGAAAGCTACCCGAGTGACATTTGATTCAGAGTTTTCCGCGGTGGGGGTTGAGTGTCTGACAGCGACGGCGCGGGAGAAAAAGACACATCCGCACCGCGTTAAAGGCCATCGCTTCAACAGCGAAGTGAAGACTATTCGACCGGCTTGTGTCTCTACCGCTGGAGTATTGATCGGTATCAGTATCCGAAGACGCACCTTCTCCAGCTCCTCCACCCGCAGCTCCAAACTCCCCGCTGCTGCTGCTGCTGCTGCTGCTGCTCCATCTCTGCAGTGGCGGTTGTGTCGTTGTCTGATGTTCCCCTCCGCCTCCTCATCGGAGCCCGTAGAGCTGCAACAAACACACAGGACGCATGGATGCAACACAAGGTGAAGGATGGAGAACGGTGCATTTCGTGCACCTTTCCACCACTCCGAAGGCTGTATGGTGAGGCTGCTTGCAGGTCTGAATCGTGGCCACATTATTACAACTTGAATGTGATGACACATCCATCATCAAAAGAACAGGTGGGAATCCGCTCTGCGCGTTTGCCCTTTCAATTAGCGGTGCATTATCAACAACCCCCCCTCTGCCTTTTATTCCATTAATGGAGAAAAGGCCATTGAGATTTTTGCAACTTTGGTGCAAAAAGGATTCTGATTAAAAAACAATTTGCATACACGTGGAAAAAGAAGAAAAAAAAAAAAAGAAGAGTTTTTTTCCATGCGGCTCGAGCAGAACATTAACCTCATCTCCTCTTCACCCCACTTACAGGCAGATTGCAGCCGGGGAAGGATGTTGGTGTGCAGTTTATTTGCTTACCAAACTCATCTCGATAATTATCAGGAAACTTGGAAACGAGTAACTGGCAATCGTGCGACATCTTCTGCCGGCAAAACACGGAATTGTGTATTTATTTTAGAAATGCTGCTTTGAGCATTCAAATGGAGTTAATAGTGAGAACAAAAGGTCACCAGGTTTTACAGCGAACGATATTGGAAATTTTACCAAAGTTGAAATCGTCGCGATTCAATGGTGTTTCATCAGGAAGTGGCTTCTAGCAGGAGAGTCCGGGCGGCCATCGGAAAGACGGATACGCATTCGCCGACGCGAAAGTGAGTCTCTGCGGCTCAAATCTCGAAAGAGAAAAGCCGAAGAGAGCCGGACGGGAGGCGACAGAAAGTGAGGAGATTAGAGGGAGACACGTATCTGTCGAGGCGCCGCCCGGCCCACCCGGCGGGTTATCTGCTGCAGAGCGTCCAGGGGGGGGGGTGTAGCGGTTGTTACACGGGCAGATTGGTGAACTCGCCTGTCGGGGTTTGGACGCAACTTTGCAATTTGGTTGTGAATAAAGATTAAAAGAGAGAAGACAAGCTGATGTTTTCAGGGTGCATTTTACTTCACGGTTTGTCTCCCGCTGCAATTTGGAGATACAAAATTTGACTATTTGCAAATATTGGAAAAATTGAAAGCAGATGAAAGCGCAATACTTTTACAACAATTTTGTGCGATCTGCCCAAAAAAAACTAAGAACAAAGCGACTGTAAATTATTTGAGAAAGAAGAAGCAGGCGTCGGTTCAGAAATCAATCTTTTTTTTGGAGGTGGTTTGAAAAGAAAAAAAAGTTTAAAAGCTCCTCATCAAATGCAATCTTCGCAAAGCAATCTCGAACCGGAATGAGCGACGCGTTTCAGGAACGGCAGCAAAGTGCCATCGAGCGCCGTCTCCTCGCAGCCGAGAAAAGCGCGACGACGGCAGCAGCGCCTCAATTTTGAGGATTCAAAATTCCACGGCGACGCAACGGGGAGGAAAAAAGGGCCCTGCGATGACTTCAGAGCGGATCGGCCGCTCGCCACTCAAACCGCCGCCTCTCGTCATCTCAAAGCGCGCGACCCCCCACGCCCGCTCTCCTGGTCGGGGATAGCCGAAACGATTCTCACCTCCTGTGGCGGCCGCTCGCCGGTCTGGGGGTTTCCTGAAAGGGAAGAAAAGGAAAAGGATCAGCGTCAGCACACGGACGGTAACTGAAGGAGCTCCGGGCGCTGCTGCTCCGACCAACAAGAAGCAAAAAGACATCTCCAGCATAAGATGCGTCCGTCAGGGGCAACGTGCAACAAGAGGCCTTCAGCCTACCCCCCCCCCCTCGAAAAAACGAGGCGCTGCGCCCCCCCCCCTCCCCTCCCCCCTTTCCTCGAATGGTACCGGCGCTCAAGGCCCGGCTCAAGGAACACCAGGAATTTCAGAGCGCTTTGACGAAATTGGTTCTGGAAAACTGACATTTTTGAGGCTTTGCTGTAATCCAACAGCTGGACTGGAAAAGCCAGTTTGTGCAGAATGCAACACCTGGAATCCAGTCGAAGGCGGGGGGGAGCGGGGGGGCGACTCCCCAGGGGTGACGCATTGGTGTTGTTGGAGAAGAACAGCCAGGCCGGTTATTCGAGAGGACGAAAACAGTGAAAAAAAAAATGTCCGACCTTGTTTCGTCTAATTAAAAAGTCACAATCAAAGATTTGCGTTGACCCCCCCCCTCCCCCGAGTAACTGCTGAGATAACGGCGCAGCGAACCGCGTCACGTACACAGACAAGAGGAGTATTGTTTTGGTTGAGATGCCTGCAGCAGCTGTGGGCCTCAGACAACACAGATCACAGCGTACAAACACAGAATGCTGTCTATATGGAAATGTGAGCTTACTCTCCTGCCCCGACAGTCAAGAGTAACTCCAATGCACCAGCGGGGGGGTATTTAAATACACAATTGACCTGGAAACCCAGGCAGCTGGTGAGGAACACCGTAAAAACCTTTCACTTTGTGTTCGGAGCCGCGTGGACGGGATTGGTCATTTTTATTAAGAGCCGAAGCAGAAGGATTTGAGCAGAAATCACATCCTTTTAACCGCTTTCAACTTTGCACAATCAAACACGCCGACTTGTGTTTGCAGTGGCTCACGGGCTTAATTCCTCCCATTAGTCGGGGATCGGCGGAGGCACACGGACGCATCTCCCTGCCAACGACATCCCCACACAGTCCACGGGAAAACGTCACGCGCCGCTTCCTCGCCGCGCAGCCGGATGCGGAGAGTCCCGAGCGGCTCTCGGCCGGCGTGGCGGTCGAAAAGGTGCTTCTCCCTCTAGATTTAGAAATAACCAGCCCCTTCCCGTCTACGTTTCCAATGATATCCGAACAAAGCTTGATTAAAATCGACTGCGGTGCTCCTGGTTCGCTGTAAAAATGTTTTTCCAGCTTCTCACCAACTACCTAAACTGTTCCTGCGGCCCGAAGTCCCGTCAAAGACGAATATCGGTGCGGCTCGGTCGGCTTTACGACAGTGATCCTTAAAATCCTGCATCAACAGAAGTGTGAGTGAGGTCAAATATTGTTTCAGGCGACCAGATGAAGTGAAGTTCGAGGCTCCAGGTCGGAAATGAGTCTCTGTGTGTGTGTGTGTGTGTGTCTGTGTGTGTCTACACACACACGGCGCTCTGGTCCGAAAGGTGCAAATTAAAGAGGCAAATGAGGCTCGTTGAATTGGATTAGAAAGATCCAGAAGAATACTCCACTCTTTTAAAAAGAATACGCTTTTTTTTTTGGTTCAGATATCTTGATAAGCGCTACGAGGCTCCGGCCGGACGCCGTTTATCACACCGGGCGCGACGCGGCGATCGCTTGTCTCCCGTTGATGAATGGGGGCGCCCCCCCGCCCCCCGAGAGGAGCGGCCCATTCGGCGGATGCTCCATCTTTACAGACGTCTCGCTGGCGGCCTGGCGGTAAATCCGCTGACCGCGACCGGACTCCTCCGGCTCCCGTTTTCTCCTGGTGGCGAGCAGCGCGCCGCGGCCCCGCACGTTGGGATTCACGCGATGGCAGGGAGACATCTAATGGTTCGTTGCTGCATCAGCACATGTGCTGTGCGTCAGGGCCCCACGCGGAGAGCTTCAGTCGGAACGCGGATGGGCCGAGGGAAGCGTGTGTTTTAATGCGTAGCTCGTCTGATGGAAATGGTCTTTCCACAGGGGGGGGGTGGGGGGGGTGTCAGCGTGCTGCTCGGTACACAAAAGAGCCTCAGACAGGGTCCGGCCCCCAAAAAACAAACTAAGCCCACTGAGCCACGCGGGAGTCAACAGTCTGTCGGGTTTTTTTTTTTTAGTTACTTTCAAAAAGCAATTTTCATGTAAATGAGGTGAAGCGGCTGCAGTGGTTAAACAGCTGGACGCTTTTCCACATCCAACGTCGTAAGCGGACTACATGTAATAAAAGGCTTAAATAACGAGCGCGTCTGATCGGGGCTGCTGGTTTCAGACTGGTTCATGTTCTCAGACGCCCGCTGGACTCATCTGGAGGAGGAGGAGGAGGAGGAAGAGCAACGCAGCTCATTCACACCTTCCACACAGAGCAAGTGGGCTTCCAAAGGGAGGCTGATGAATGTTTGTCCTCGTGGACACTGCGTCCACGTATGTGCACACCTTCTTGATATTTGGCTTAATTGGTGCGTAAAACAATGAAAAGGCCCAAAGGTAAACATTTCAAGTTGCTTACGCTCCAAAAACATCAAGACACACAAGTACTCTGTATTTTTAAAGAGCGATTCATCGCTTTCAAATTCCTCCCAATCCGCCTGTGACGAGCAACAGCCGCCTCTATCAAGTCACATGAGCACTAGCTGCTCACCTTCACGTCGCTAAAAAGAAACCTCGGGCCTGTGAGACCTGTGAGAAAGTAGGAACCGGCTGCGACGGGGTTTCAGCCGCATTCCGGCCGGCGGTGATGATGATGATGATGAAACGCAGGGACACATTGTGCGTCTGAGCCACAGTGCCTCTGCTTTAGTCGCTGCGCTGGGAGAGCGACCTCGCTGCTCCTCACCATCAAGACGGGGTCGGCCGCCATGGCCTCGTTCTGGAAAGTGTTGGCCTGCACCAGCTCCTCCTCCTCCTTGCGGTCCTTCTCCCCTCCGTCGTCGTCGTCCAGCTCGTCCAGGCTCTGAGGGAGGAGGGAGAGACAGGCGGTCGGGGGTCAGTGGGGATTCAGGCGAAGCTCATTTTCAACCATCGAATGCATCAAAAACAGCCGCGTCGGTTTTTTTCCCCGTTTACTTTCTCATGAAAATGAAGAGAAACATGTCCGTCCGTCAGAGGCGAAGGACTCGGCTCCCCGCGGGGAGTCGACAGTAGCTCGGCCGCGCGTCGGCACACTGACAGGCGAGGTCATTCCTATACGCCGACCTCTGGCCCCCCCGCAGCCTCGGGTCGCCTCCTAATCCTCTCAAGACTCCGAGACGTGACCACACTCACTTCCAGGAATCCCAGCGGAGCTGCAGCTCAAACACTGGATGGACCGGTCGGGCGAGAGGAAGACGGGCGTCATCGGCCCCCGGGGACAAGGGGGGGGGGGACGGGAATGTCCCTTGACCACGCAAAAAGACATTTACAAACATAGCATGCGAGCATCCCTTTACCAGTCAGCTTTCGTTATTTGAGCGGATGTCTGTCGGCCTCCAACCGTCGCTCCCCGTAATCTCCGCTGCATCGCAAACACAAACCAGCCTCGGGACGGATGGTGGCGAGGAGGAGGAGGAGGAGGAGGAGGAGGAGGAGGCCGGAGCCAAACTCCCAGAGGGTCGCAAAGCGGTCTTTCCTGTCTCGAGCCGCCGGCGGAGAACAAAAGGGCTCGAAAGGCCCTTTAGCGGCAAAAGTAAATAAATAAATAAATAGCCTCACAAGGAATGCTGCCATTTGCGAGGCCTTTCCTGCCAAACAGTTTATCAGGGGGGGAGGGGGGCAGTACTTTCCTGCTTCTCCCGATGTAGCCCAGCGCTAACCGGCTCTCCTTCCATCTCTAACACACACACACACACACACACACACACACACACACACAATAACAAAAGCCAAACTTGTGTCGGCTCGATTCTTTATTTCCACGTTTCTTTCTCCGTTCTGCTTCCAGCTGAGACACGAGATGTTTTTTTTCTCGCGGCTGTTTTCAGTTGGCCAACTTGACAGGGTGACACCGCTTCCAACATTAAGACCCGAGTCCCATGCGGGGGAAACGGAGGGTGGAGCTTTTGGAGATTAAACCTCAAAAGTAAACAGCAGTTTGTCCGCGTCAACACAAAGGGGATCGAGCGGTGATTAACCGTTCCGTTATGCACAAACTTGCGGGAGATGTGAAATTGGGGGAATCTCAAAGGTTTACTTTGGATGGACGCGCGGCCCGTTTTGCCTTCAGCTTTTCAAAATTCATTTTTTTTTTTTACTGCACAAAAATAATAATAAAGAGAGGGGGGGGGGGGGGGGCGAAACGCTGCACAACCATTTAAGGGATGTTTCTGCCCCAGAATCCACGAGTCAGTGCAAACGAGCCATGCGGGGTGTTTTTTTCGGGGGGAGTTTGTTCATGTTTAATAAAAACAGGGTCGAACAGAACTACAAAGCACTGTGAGTGGGTGCACATCCTCCACCCAGCGCACACTTTCACAATCACACACACGCCTTCATCAACACGCCGAGTGACAGAGATTAAAAAGACGAGTTTCAGCTAAAAAGAAGCAGACGGGTTTTCCCAGAATCCTCTCTGCTTCCTGTTTACAGCTGGACCACGAGTGCGGCCCTCGCAAGAGTGTTTAGTGAAAACAGTCAGACACGTATCCTGCTCTGCTCCAGCCTGGACCCCCCCCCCCCCGACTAGTCACCTAAATCAAATAATCCAACTCCCGTTGCATTAAACAATATTAAACAGCATTAAAGCAGATTAATGAGACAGTTTGTCAGCAAAAACTAAAGCTGTGCATCGTCCCGTTTGCCTCCGTCCTCTTTCCTGATTGCACAAGCGGGTCTTTAAGGGGGGGGGGGGGGGTTGTTTGGGGACAGTCGAGTCAAACTGCGTGCAAGACGTTCCCAAGAATCAAAGCTTTTATTGGCCACAAAGCCCTCCGGGCGCTTTCTGTAAAATCCGCTGTTTACAGCTTGAAGGCCGCACACTTTTTCAGCTCTGAACGTCCAGTTTGCTTTTCCATTTTCACCCGAAGAGACTTTAGTCTTTTAATCAGTCCTCAGTCAAACAAAGAAGAAGAAAAAAAAGAAGCTTTGGACCAACAAACAACAGGGGTCCGGCTGCGAGCGGCGTTCCTCTGCATGTGAGGGACGGGGGCACTGAGGCCGCTCTGACTCAGCACATTTAAAGCATTTGTGGGAAACGGCCTTTCGCCCACTTTAACTTTGCCAGACTTGTTCTCTGGTCTCTAATCTGCACAGTGAGTTTGGAGCAGAACCGGGGCTTGTAAATAGTTGGACAGCTTCGGAGAGGAGGGGGGACGGCGGGGACGGGGGGGGTCTTTTAAACACCGCAGAACCTCAGAAAAAACACATAGCCGACAGATACGTCAGCAGGAGGGTTCATCGGCCTTCGGGTGACTTGCTATGCATTTCCACTCGAGAGCTTTGGCATAAAGAAAAAAGAAGAAATAAAAAAGGCACATTAAAAGTTGCCTAACGAATCACAGCAAAAATGGAGGTGTTACACAACAGGAAGTGTGAAACTGCAAAACACGGGTAATGGGTGACATTTGCTGATTGCGTTTAACGCCTTGAATTTATTCAAGATGAAGGACATTTGCGTAATTACACGGTTAGCATTCGGATCTCGGTTAATTGTTTAGCTGGATGTCAAATTTATGCACAGGGGGAAAATGCCAAATGTGTTGTGCTTTTTAAAATGACTTCAAATGCCGTCTTTCCCTCTGGGGGGGGCAAAATAAAAACGTCAGGAAAAAGAGCAATAAGGCTTTTAAAAGCGGCTTGTGGGTGAATCTCCGCTTTGCGACTCCCTGCAGAGCAACGCTGCTTTGAGGTAGTTTAAACATCCGTGTGTGTCCCGGGCCGCAGACCAGGGCGGCTGTAACTCGTGGCGGTAGGGAGGTAAAGGGGGGAGAGGGGGGGGGGGGGTGTTTTGTCTAACATCTAATCTAGCCGATTCGGGCACGCACGCCTTTTCTTTCCTTCCTTCCTTCCTGTCTTGATGTTTTTGTGCAAAAACTTCATCCAATTTCGACACTTGGTTAAAAAACACGAGAGTGCCCAGTCACAACTCCCCCCCCCCCCCCCCCCGAGATGCGTTCCAGGCATCGGATGATTTTTGCCGATCGCGCTCTGGAGGGCGGGGGGGCGGAGATGCAGCCGAGGAGACACGGTGTACTTTGGCCACTGCTGGGTTTTCCTGCTGGCCGAGGGAAACTGTGGCACTGGTCAGGTTTTACGGGCCTATTGACGGGGCGGGGGGAGGTCAAACGTGGCGGCCGGATCGCTCGGTGGTAAAATGTTTCCGTGGGAAATTTGCCGTGTTCCCAGTACCCACGATGCACCGAGTACAAGCTGAACGGAAGGCGCAGAGAATAACAACCGAAAGCGGTTCCTTCAGTATCCTAAACATAAGCTTAAGCGGATGTTGAGCAGCAGATTCTAATCTAATAGAAAATGGTTCACGACGCGGCCATTTTAAAAGAGAGACCTTTCTATAAGCCGCTCGCCTTCACAAATAAAACCCAAAACCAAAGACGAAACAGGCTCTTCTCTCTGCCGAAGGAGAGCGATTGCCGATTGGCTGCGTGCCGGATGTCAGCCGTGGTCAGCCGCTGCGGCGTTAGTGTCCTTGTGGCTCGGCTTTTCATTTTCATTTCAAAGTGGATTCATTTATCAACTGTGATGAGTTAAATATGAAAACAACAGCCTTGTTTACAAAAGTGGAACATTTGTTACCGTGTCCAAGTCGCCGTCTGGCTCCAATTATCCAGAAATGAACGGAATTACGAAGGATGGTTTCATTTTCCCTGAACGATCCCTCACCTTGAGATTAACTCACTGATCTAATGTCGACATTTCTGAATTGTCAACACGTTGTATTGTTTTCTGTGGTATTTCCAGAGCGCTTATTCTAGTAAATAAGCCTCGCTAACAAACCAGTCTGACCTTTGCATAATATTCAAGTTCTTTAAAAGTTTTAAAAAATGCTGTATTTCTTGTCACGTCAATTCAACTGAACTAAAAATAACTCGCGGCCCTGAACTCCACGACGAAGTATTTCCTGCAGCAGCCGGAAGAACGCCGAGCTTTTCGTGACCCCAAATATCCCGTTTGGCGGCGGCGGCGCGAGGCCACGCAGGCCGGTCCGACGCGAGAGTGTAAAGCAGCGACCAGAACCAAGTAGGCCGACAACACGCAACTGTGTGGAATGGAGTGACCGCTCTGCAACGCACACACGGATACCTGCCGAGTGACTGTGAAGACAGCCGAGCGTGTGTGCGTGCGTGTGTGTGTAAAGCAGTGGCAGCCTGAGGGCACCTGATGGCAGCGCTTAACCATGCAACACCTGCGCAACACACCTGGCAACGAAACACCAGTGCGGCCCCGGCGTCACGTCTCCTGGTGAAACGCAGGTGCTGCCATCATCGAGACCAGGAGCCGCCCCTTTTTCGGCATGTGCCGGTTTCGCAGCATTTCATGCTCGGATTTTCTTGTGCCAAAACAAACCCTCGGATATATTCGCGGCCCTTTTTATTCCTCGCCAAGCGGTGCGATCGCGTGCAGCTCTTTTATCCGAGCGCGGTATCATAGCGGACTTTGGGATGCAGGAAATGTCTGGCACCCATTTAGAAACGAATTTCTCCGGCACAAAACGTTCCTACGGGGCGGCGCGACGCTCGAGCCAGACGGGAACTCGGTCTACCAAACAAGAGGGCCGGACAAACAACAGCGCGGCCCTCTCGAGGCGGCGGCGTGCTCGCGCGTTGCCGTTCCACTCATTAGTGGAGAGCGAACGGTTGCTCCCGGGATGGTTTTCCTTTCTGCCGCTTTCAAAGGGGCCCGGCCTGCTGCCGGGGAATCTGTGAGCCCGAATCGCAGCCTAATTGAAGACGGCGTGTTGAAACGAAACGAATACCTCTGGCAGGTCACAGTGCGCCTCGCTACCGACGGCCCTTCCGCTCC